TTCTTGCTCGCTCTTTCTGTCTGTTGTCCTCTCATGAAAGAAAAAAATAAACTTTTTAAAACATAATAACTGGGACCAGCAGTTGGCCATAATGGCTATGTCGCTGGACTCCCATGTAGCTGACCGCAGTTCCAGTCCTAGACCCAGTGGCTTAAACTCACGCTGGGCGCATGTGCATGTGTGCCCAGGATCCCGAGAGGAGAATGGAGAAGGGATTGCAGCGTGGCCATCCCCCCTGGGGGGCAATTTCTCACCTTCTGCCTCTCTGTCTCTCTCTGTCTTTCTGGTGAGCATATGCACCCTATAGCAACCCCCCCACCCACCCAATAAACATAATAACTTAGAAAGTATTTCTGACCCATATGAAACCCCTGTGTACTCTGCCCTAATCCTTGTTTCACTTTTTCACCAGAGGTAATCACTGTCTTAAATTCGATGGCTCTCATATATAATATTGTTTTACATGTTTTTGAAACTTCACATAAATGAAATCATGTTATCTGCAACTTTCTGCAAGCTGATTTTTTTGCCCTTATTTTGTATGTTTGAGAATGGTATTATTTTATTTGGGCACCTAGTATACATGGTTGAGTGCAGGGCAGTTCCCCATGCGGGAATTTATAAGGATGTTGGGAATAATGATACATAAGCACCAACGAACATGAAATAAAATTTATTATTCAAACAGTAAAGGACAAGAAGATTCTTTGAGGAGAACGACTTGGGTTCAGATAGGAGTGAAGCAAGAGCAGAGCCAAGAGTATGGATTTCTTTCTTTCGTGAGAAAGAGAGAGAGACAGGCACCCTCAACAGGGTGTCATGTTGCAATAGTCCCCTCAGCTTTCCCATCCAGCCAGGATCACAGGCACACAGGTGAACACCCAGTGTTGACCGGAAACCAAACCCTGCTTTGGTTCCTCCACATAGCTCCAGCATCGCAGGGCAGCACACTGCCACTGCTCACCATGGCTGGCCCGTGCAGCTTATTTCTAATTCCTAGCTATCTCAAACAGTACTTCAGAGAACATCCTCATACATGTCTCCAGGTACATATGGAGAATTTCTCAGAGTACATGCTTAGGAACAGAATTGTTGCGTCATGGGATATGCATTCCATTTTTAATTAATCTCACTTATTAATCTTATCTCTTATGGTGTGCAGTTTTAAATCTCGCTTATAAATGGCTTTTCTTAATCCAAAGTCCTAAAGATATTTTCTTCTAAATATTTTAAAGTACACATTTACATCTTTTACTTACCTAAAATTTGTTTTGGAAAATTATATGAAGTAGAGATTAAAATACTTTTTTTCACTTTGGACAACCGTCCTGTCTCCGTGACCTGTCATGCCTCCTCTAGTGTATAATAAGGTTCTATGTGTAAGGGAATCTGTTTCTAGGCCTTCCTTCAGTCTAGGTTCTGTTGCTGTGCTAGCCTTATTCTGTCCTATACCACATTGTTCAAATTTCTGTAGCTTTAGGACACATAATTCATACATTCAAGAATGAGTAACTTACACTTCTTAAGAAATATTTTAGCAGTTTCTGGCCCATTGCCCATTCATATGGATGTTAGAGTGAAGTCATTAACTTTTGTGCATAAAGCCTGTTGGATTTTTTTGGATCGGGGAAGAGCTGGTGACTTTCTGTTACTGAAACTTCCCATCTACAGCCATTTATTTCTTTAATATCTTTCCAAAAGGTTACTATTTTTTAAAGAATTATTTTATTTTAACTTTATTTAATTATCTATTTATTTTAATTTGACTGAAGAGGGACAGAATGAGAGCAAAAGAGAGAACAAGAGAGAGGGAAAGTGGTGAGTAAGCAACCTGTCAGGTTCGGGACTTGAACCGGGCTCACACATGTGGGAGTCTAGAGCCCTTAATCATCATGCCACCTGCCAGCCCCACTTTACTTTTTTTTAACAAAAGTTTTCCACAGCTCTTAAAGATTTATTTCTAGATATTTTATACATTTAAGATTTTATAAATGATATCTCAAAAATCATATTTTGGAACAATTTGTTGCTAGCTTTTAGGAATATCATTGGTTTGCATAATTATTACTTGTTGATTTCCTTTCATATTTTAATATAGGAAAACATATTAGATGAAAATAATGGTAGTTTAAGATTTTCTTCTAATCCTTATATGGCTTTATTTTTCTTGTGTCTTATACCAGTAGGACTTCTAATAGCAAGCAATAGAACGTTACTAACATATGGAAAAGAGACAGCAGGTGTTTTGTCTTGCTCTTGGTTCATGTTTCTCATTTCAAAGTACAGCTATGATAACACCCTGAGACTCTTGCTAAGAGACTCTACCATAAGAAAGCTATCTAACCTGCAAAGGGCTATCTGTGATTATTTTTTAGTGATTAGCTCAGGAGCTGACTTAAGTAGCTATGTTTTTTTGTTTTTGTTTTTGTTTTGTTTTGTTTTGTTTTTGAAAGGTTTTTGCTCTACAACGCGTGTGCTGGCCAGAAACACAGAGAGAGACTTTATTTAATTATCTATTTATTTTAATTTGACTGAAGAGGGACAGAATGAGAGCAAAAGAGAGAACAAGAGAGAGGGAAAGTGGTGAGTAAGCAACCTGTCAGGTTCGGGACTTGAACCGGGCTCACACATGTGGGAGTCTAGAGCCCTTAATCATCATGCCACCTGCCAGCCCCACTTTACTTTTTTTTAACAAAAGTTTTCCACAGCTCTTAAAGATTTATTTCTAGATATTTTATACATTTAAGATTTTATAAATGATATCTCAAAAATCATATTTTGGAACAATTTGTTGCTAGCTTTTAGGAATATCATTGGTTTGCATAATTATTACTTGTTGATTTCCTTTCATATTTTAATATAGGAAAACATATTAGATGAAAATAATGGTAGTTTAAGATTTTCTTCTAATCCTTATATGGCTTTATTTTTCTTGTGTCTTATACCAGTAGGACTTCTAATAGCAAGCAATAGAACGTTACTAACATATGGAAAAGAGACAGCAGGTGTTTTGTCTTGCTCTTGGTTCATGTTTCTCATTTCAAAGTACAGCTATGATAACACCCTGAGACTCTTGCTAAGAGACTCTACCATAAGAAAGCTATCTAACCTGCAAAGGGCTATCTGTGATTATTTTTTAGTGATTAGCTCAGGAGCTGACTTAAGTAGCTATGTTTTTTTGTTTTTGTTTTTGTTTTGTTTTGTTTTGTTTTTGAAAGGTTTTTGCTCTACAACGCGTGTGCTGGCCAGAAACACAGAGAGAGACAGAGAGACAGAAAATGAGAAATCACCCCCTGGGGGAATGGCCACATCGCAATCCCTTCTCCTCCATTCTCCTCTTAGGATCTTGTGCACACATGCACACAGGTCTGGTGTGTGTTTAAGCCACTGGGTCCAGGACTCGAACTGTGGTCGACTACATGGGAGTCCAGCAACATAGCCATTATGCCATCTGCTGGTCCCTAAGTAGCTATATTCAATAATTCACCACTAGAAATAGATCTGTAAATACCTGTCAATACTTGCCTGAGATAAAGTTCAAATGTGCTATTTATCAGGGTCCATTACTTTATAATGTATACTTTAGGTCAATTTTCCAGAAATTATAATAAGTTTTTTGTTGACCCAACTGATTTACTTATTCCACATTTACTAATAAGTGTTCTCCAGCGCCAACGACAGAGTATGAAATATTAAATACAAAAGGATAATGTCTTAGTCTAGTGAAGTTGCTATGACAAAATATCATAGACTGAGTAATTTAAAGAACAGAAATTAATTTTCTCAATAATTTATAGGCCAGAAGTCCCAGATAAGGTGTGGCAGGGCTGGTTTTTGATGAGGGCTCTCATCTTGACTTGTATTCAGCCACCTTCTGGCTGTCTCCTCACATGGCACTGAAAGGGAGGCTCTTTGGTGTCTATTCTTATAAGAACACGAATTCTCTAGGATCAAGACTCCACTCTCATGACTCATTTAACTATAGCCACACCAGAGGTTAGGATTAAACATATTTATTTAGGGGCGATACATCATTTAGTCCATAATAGATACTTTTTAAATACTACCACTTTGATTTTCTAGGTTAACTGGTGTTCTCCATCCTCTTTGTAAAGGAGTCCATGCCTACCACTTAACCATGTTTCATGGGTGGAGGCTGCTCACTAGTAGGCCCCACACTACTAGTCTCACATGTTGACTAGTAAGCTTATTATGAGTCAGCTGTGTTGCTAACCAAATTTGTTCATGCCAGTTGAACTTGTTATAGTAACATGTAATTTTAATTCATTTAAGGCAAATTAATAGATATACATAAAAAAGGAGTTTTTGTTTCCATGTAAACTAAATAGAATCCTTTGGAAAGATTCAGTAGAGTTTTAAAAACTATTGTCAAAATAGTTGACAAAACAACTATAGAAGATTAGAAAACAGTATGTAATAACCTTGGGCTCTGCACCAAGATTGTTTCATAAGTATCTTTTAAAAGTTCCACTTTAAAGAAACTGAAACTGAATGCTACAACCCGTATATTCTAGTTATCATTCTTGAAAAAATAAGCACATTCAAAAAGGAGACTTTAATAAAAGCTAACAAATCATATATTTTATGTTAAAATTTTAAGGTTTTTTTTTTAAGTACAAGTTTATTTTGGTGCCCAAATTTGGAAATCCACAGTTTTTTCATAATATACATTATTAATTTTAATTAATTTTTAATTTATATTTAATCACTATACATCTTTATAATGCACAGCACTGTGCATAACAATCAAGTCCATAACAATCAAGTCAAAGATATCACCATATACATTATCATGAAAAGATAACTTCATTTTTGTGTTTGTTAGATGATTTGTTTGTTTTTTCCCCTGATCCCCTTCCTCCCACCTCCTATTACCCACCCTGTCTTACTATCTCTAGTCTCTACAGTGGCCCTCCCTGCTAGTTTATCTTTCAATCCTTCAGTTTCTGCTATAGAGTACAGACATTCGGTATATATTTTAAAATATGGAACACTTCACAAATTTGCATTTCATGCTTCCTCAGGGCCATGCTGATCTCCTCTATAGCATTCCAGTTTTACTATATATACTGCTGAAGTGAGCTCAAGACATGTTTTTATTATTTTTAACTGCCTTTATTAATCAACTGCTTTTCCTAATAACTTCTAAAAGAGCTTTTTTTTACACTGTTGGCCAAAACTATATCAAGGCTATAATTAGTACAGTTTTTGACTTAGAGTCCAAGCCTCAGGCAAAACTCCAATCCTCCACATTGTTTCTATTTTTTTTTTTTTTTTTGAAGAGAGATTTTTGCTATAGAGCACATACACTCATCATAGGGACAGAGAGAAATTACCCCCAGGGGGATGACCATGCTATAATCCCTTTTCTACTTTCCTCTTGGGATTTGGGACACAGACACACACACACACGCCCAGTATGAGTTTCAGTATGAGTTTAAAGCTTCCAGGTCTAGGACTCAAACCACAGTTGGTCATGTGGGAGTTCAGCACCTTACCATTATGCTGCCTGCTGGCTCAAGTCCCTCCTATTTTCTTAGCTCAGTATTAGCTCAGTAACCAGTCACCAACATGGATAGAAAGAGAAAGTGAGAACACTACCTACCAAAAACCTGTACTTTTGGTTCAGGCACGGGGGTGCCAGTGGTAGGGTGTTAGGTAATACTGCAGCCACATGAGAGGCATAGGTTTAGACCTTGGGTCCACCTGACCAAGCCAGGTGTACCTATATGTGCCTACGGCCCTGCCTCGCTGGGAGGCTGGGGGAAGGATTGTGGCATGGCAAGATCCAGTCTAGGGTACCTGGCTTTCTCTCATGAAATAAATTAACTAAAACTGAGGGAGGGGCAGCCCGTGATTTTCATTCCACACTATTAATTTCTGAAGCTGGAAGATGATGGGACAAGTACTCCAATAGATACTTCTCCAAAGAACCTCAGGACCAATCATCCCAGAAAAAACGACCTCCTGTAGGATATTGTATTTTCCTTCAGCTGTGGTGATTGAAAAAACTTCCTGTAACTTAATTTCTTGAGGAATTGAGCTGCACCTGCAGTGTGCAGTGAGTATAGCACAGTAGTAAATCCCAGCAGCACTGGACAAATGGGCACTCTCACCCAAGAAGTTCATGTTCTCAATAAAGGCTTTTTCTTTTCTTCTTTCTTTTCTCTCTCTCTCTCTCTCTCTTTTTTTTTTTTTTAGACAGCACTACCATTTAGTAAATAAGAATGAACTCAAAACTGTCAAACAGGAACACTGCAACGAGAGGGAGCCCAAGTATTTACTCAGATTCTCCAGTGGTCCTACCAGTTCTGTGTTACTCAATCTTCTCCACCAGGCCCACACATGCAGAAAGTTCTCAGTGCAGTCGGGTTCACCAGGCCCTGCTTGCAGCCCTCCACGTGCTCACTGTCTGTTTCTCTCGCTTTAGAGACAATATTAAACAGCTGCTGGAGGGAATTGCATCTCCCGTGTTCCTATTTTGATATATCCCAGTAAGATCTTCAGCCAGATCCAAACAGGACAGAGGTTTTGAGAGTGTGGAGAGAGCCTCTTCAGTTAAATTCTAACAGGGTGATGATATCTTTCATTGTTAACTGGTGAAAGACTTTGCTGACTGTATTTCCATACTGTTTGTTGTTACCAGCATCATAATGACAAATACATTTCCCGGCTTCAAAGAGCTCTTTGAATTGTAAACAGAATGAGAACTTACATTCCGGCACAGAGTCATAGGAATTTATGTTCATTAAGGTTAACGTCTGTGACTGGTTTCATTGGATTGTCTAAATGAAAATATCTTAGGCTTACAGCAGCCATAATTAGAGGGAGGTGAAGACAGCACTAAGGATTTTCTAAATAGTGTGAAGACAGCGGCAGGACAAAAGTTCTTACAGGCAGGAGAGACATTGGAATCCTTGCAGCCCACATGCTTATTTTACAGATGAGAAATTGCCAACATGTTTCTCAGCAGAAACACCATTGTCATCTGGGCAGGACAGTGTAGACAGCACCATCCCACACTTTGCAGGAGGTTTAGCATCCCTGGCACCTACCCTCTAAATACCAGTGACTTCCACAGTCATTACAGCAACCAGGGTGTGCCTGGGGGGAGCTGTACCTCTCTCTCCCTGTTGAAAACCCCAGAGCCAAATTGCTCGTAAACAACTAGAAACATGACAGTACAAATGAATCACTGACAACATTTCTCAAACTTTAAAGGGCATGAGAATCAACCAGGAATCTTGTTAATAATATAGACTATGATGAAGTAGGTCTGGGGTGGAGAAGAGATTCAGCATTTGTTTTTTAGTGCAAACATAAGACAGAGAGAGAGAGAGACCTTTAACGAAGTCTTGTCACACCATTATCTCTTTCCCCAAATCCTCTGACATGTCAAGATCTCGGGCATGCACCTACCTGGCATGCTCCCAGGCTAACCCGGGGATTCAAAGCCACAGGCTCCCACCCCTGCACACCCCCTGCAGTTCGGTACACTGTGGACTGTGCCACCAGCCCTGAGCCAGAGTTTGCTCTTCCAACCAGCTCATGGGCAACACCATAACTGTGAGTTCATGGATTCTACTTAGAATGGGAACAGGGTTCTGAGCGAATGCCTGACCTGTTCTCATGTCCTTCAGAGTTCACCCCCTACCCAGAGCTATGGCATGCCACAAAAAGTACCCGTTCTTTGTATGGACTTCTCAGGAGATCCAATCTGGCTTTGCCTTCGGGACTGTGTCTCAATCTACTTCTCCTGGGTGACCTGAAAAGACTCTCAGGCAGACTCTGACTTTTTGCATGGCAGCTTTCAGACAGTCTCTTTATTATTAGAGCCAAACATTATGTAAGACCCTCTCTTATAGTGTCATGCCCTCAAGCCCTATCCAGCTCCAGCTTCTGAAAGCCCAGCTGAAACTAACACCAGGGTGCCTGCTTGCTGAGTGAGCTGGCAGGGAGGCTGGGTTCTGACAGAGTCCATGAGCAGTTACTGTCTTGGTGACAGAACTGGCCAGAGCCCACATTTGCTGACTCCCACTCAGACACTCTCTTCAAAGCCCTGTGTTATTTCTCTTCCATTCCTACCATTACATGAAAATATGTGTCACTCGATATGTTTGCCTAACTTACTAAGAAACTGCCACCCACTCTGCTTTAGCCAGAAGGTTCTCTATAGATCAGCTTCCTGATGGAAGATTGTAGCAGAGAACTTTTGCAACATGTAACAGATGGTATACTGAGAAAGGGGGTCTTGGATGTTGTCATTTTTGTTAAATTCCTGCACTAGGAGGTAGTTGATGGAAAGTTTTCGAGGTGGGTCCATCTCTTGTGGTAATTAAACAATGATGTAAAGGAATGAAATCACTATTATAAAATTATTTCCAGATTCGCACTTATCTTTTCTGATTTCCTTCATTCCTTTTAAGCTAAAGAAATACACCAGAAGGGCGTCCATGTGGGTGGGTAGGCACTTTGCTAAAAACAAAGCATTCTCTAACTCCATATTGTCTGCCTTAGCCTGGGTTCCCCTGAAAGCGAGCCTGAAACAAAGGTATGTGTGATTGTAGTTTATTTGAGAATGGGATTCCGTAGAGTATCAGGGCAGAATAGGGGAGTTTAGAGTGTGAAAGTTAGTGAGATAAGGCTATATTACCACATTGACCAATGCTATAGGTAACTGGTACTTGATTCTGCCTGGACCATTTGAGAAGCCTTATGTGGTACATCTCTCTGAGAACTCTTGACTAAAGAATGAAAGAGAAGCACTTATTTCAGCTCTCACATCCAATCAGTCCAAGATGGGCCACAGGTGTTGGCTGCTTGGAACTTCCATGTTGTACATGGGTGAATGCCTGGAGAGCTCTCAAAGGACCTCATTGAATCAGAGTCAGTCAACTGCGAGAAAGTGCTAGAGGAAGATAAAGGGCTCAATGAAATTTTACGAGGCACAATAAACACAACAGATATGTCTTTACCAGCATAACTTAGTAGCTTAAAAATTTAGTAACTTGAAATGGTTTCGTAAGGGTTTAAAGTTTTTTCTCTTGGGACCAGCAGTTGGCGTAATGGCTATGTCACTGGACTCCCATGTAGTTGAACACCGTTCGAGTCTCAGACCCAGGGGCTTAAACTCACGCTGGGCACATGTGCATACGTGCCCAAGATCCGGAGAGGAGAATGGAGGAGAAGAAGGGTTTGCAGCATGGCCATCCCCCCTGGGGAGGGGGGGTGATTTCTCACTTTCTGTCTTTCTGTCTCTCTCTGTTTTTCTGGTGAGTGCACATGCCATTTAGCAAAAAACCTCTCCAAATTATTTTTTCTCTTATTTATTTTCATTATTCATCTATTTTATCTAATACCCCACCCTTTTTCTGATGACCTACCTCCTCTAACACCTCTAAAGTACTTCTGTTTGTTTTGCTTTACTCGTTTTTAATTGCAGTAAATGCATATAATATAAAATTTACCATCTTAATCATTTTCAGTACACAGTTCAGTAGTGTTAAATACGTTAGTATTGTTATTTAATTAATCTCCAGAACTCTTTTCATCTTGCTGAATTGAAACTCCTGTATTATTAAATAACAACTCCCTGTAGCCCTCCCCTTCTCACCCCCTGGCAAGTACCACTCTACTTCTGTCTCTAGAAATGTGACTACTCTCACTACCTCACATATGTGGAATCATACAGTATTTGTCTTTTTGCAACTGTCTTATTTCACTTAGCATAATATTGTCAAGTTTCATCTATATTATAGCATATGCCAGAATTTTCTTCCTTTTTTGAGGCTGAGTAACATTCTATTGTATATATTAGGCTGTGAGGAAAGTTGTGATATGTTTTTCTTTGCAAAAATGCATCATGACTTTCCTGACATCCCAATATATACCATATTTTGTTTAACCATTCACATATGGTTATGGACACTTTGATAGCTTCCTTTTATTATTTTTTAAAAATAAATGTCTTTCTTATTTCTTATTTTATTTGAAGTCATCCTTTTGAAACAATGGAAGCTTTAGACTTTAATTCTTCTTTATTGCCAGAGAGTGCCGTGCATATGGGAGTGGAGGTGCAGAA